ACCCTGCAGTGCCAGCGCCGTGCTCTGTACATAGGTAAACGATGAACCAGGTGGCTCTGGAGCAGGGCCACGGCCCACTCCGCCTCTCCTGTTCGGATTCCGTCGCTCACCGCTTCCCTCTGGCCGTGGCAATGACTGGAGGTTTGAGGACCAAAGCCAGAGCTGCCCCTCGTGGCTCTGCAGGTGTGCCAGCCCAGCAGGGCTCTGCCCTGCGGGTGACTGCAGCCAGGCAAACCCCGTGTGTGTGCCTACAAGGAGTCGTAGGGTTTTGGGGGGGTTGTCCACACGGACCAGCCTTACCACAAAATGTATTTCCCTCCTGGAACTGCTTGTACATTGCTGATCAAGTCAGTTCTGGAACAAGGTAAATCCTTCCTCTAAATGAGATGTTGTCCCAGTTAATCTTTCTTGGCATTTTGCATTACGATCCTCCCCCTGTTTCGCTGGGTACACCCCTCTCTCTCAGACAAAATCCTCCTGTTCCAATGGCAGTGATTTTTCTTGGGCATCTATTTCCCAAATGATACATTCCAGGGATCCAGCCAGGAAACTTAATTCTGCAAAACCCTTCCCCAAAACAAATCTTTTCATGCTCTCTCTTAATAGTAAGTCGTGGTGTTTATATAATTGTGTTTAAAATATCCTTGGCTATGTTGTTTTACAGATTTTTAAAAAATAACTTATACAATCCTTTGTTTTTTTTCTCTGTGGACTGTTTTTTATATGGGAGTGGGGTATCTTTTTGTGTCTTATTCCTTCTCATTTTCTCCTCTCTGACCCTGCAAAGCCACTCTTTGCACCAGACATATGTAAACACTCTTTCCTACGCTGCATGTTCTGATTTTCATTGTTAATAGTTTTAATGAGTTAAACCTTTCTCCAGTGAACTTCCCAGTATGAATTGTCACCAGTTCCACAGGGAGCTGGGATAATTCCTGCTTGGTTTCGGCTGCAACGACACCTGCCCTGCCTGGGCTTGCCCACGAGAGCTCACCTCAGCCAGGTGAGAAGGGGAAAGCCACACTGTCTCCAGCCCTCACCTGCCTGGACCAAATCCAAGGAAAGATGGAGCTTTGGTGAACTGATCTTTAAGTTAATAAACTATTGATCTTCCCTGACAAATGAATCTGTGCTTTTTCCAAATTCATGCAGCCCTGGCTGGAGGCACTGCCTGTCCTTGCTTTGCTGAACAAAGCAGCTCCCCTGGCTGGAGCTCCTCTCAGCTCAGAGCACCTGTGGGACAAATGCTCAGGAACAGATGAGCTGCATCTGCAAAAAACTCATTATTGTTGTTGTAAAGGTCTTTAACCTCCAGAAGAAACTCAAATCCCGAATACCTGCCCTGTGCCAGGCTGGGCTGGTGCACCCAGGGCCATCTCACTGGGGTTGGGGCTGTGCTGGGGCACGGGTGGGTGAATTCTCCAGTGTGGGGGATCCTGGATGAGCTGGCAGAAGGGCTTGTTCTCCTTTCCCACTCATACAAGGAGCATCCTGAGCAGTTCCCCAGTGCAGTTCCCAGCACAGGGCCACTGTTCCCTGTTGGCTGTCTGGGAAGGAGAGGAGCTGCTGGTGTGGCTGGGCATGGAGGCAGCTGTGGAATCCTTTGTTTGTTGTGCTGGTTTTGCAACAACCATGGGCCAAGTGCCCAGGGTAGTGCCTGGATATCTGGAACTGAGTTTTTTAAGTGGGGAAAAAAGAAAAGAATGGAGCCCTCCCACAAGGGAGGATGCTTTCTCAGAGATGTGCAGCTCTGGGCTCCTGCATTTTGTTGGTCTTCACATTTATCAGATGATAAATGTGAATTAATCACATACAGAAATTTCTTTGGCTGCAGGATTTCCCTTTCAGTCTGAGGCCAAACCAGAGGTCAGAACTGGGGTGACACACTCCTGGCTTCTGCCCCTTTGCTTGGAAAATACCAAACTTCTTTTCTCCTGCTGGGTTAGTGAGAAAACAGGAGCTGTGGATCAGGAGTACTGTGCCAGCCTTCCAGTTCTCTGGCTCACAGCAGCCTGCCTCTAAATACTGCTCCCTGGTATATTTAGATGTACTGAAATGCTACAAAGAAAGGAAAATGCTTACTCTTACATCTTGACATAACTTAAAATACACACTGGGGAAGGCAATGCAATTTAAGATGACCAGTCTCCACCAGTCCCAGTTCTATCCTGCTTTCTGCTCTCTTCCAGCCTGCCAGGGAAAGAAAAACAAATTCTGCACATTGAATTCATGCAACAACATCAGCTTCCAGCGTTTCTCTCAGAAATCATTCTTGTAAAGTAATAAAATTCAGATTATTTCTCCAAGCTGTTGCAATACTTGCTTGGAGCTATTAAAGTCTGACTGGTATGCTCAGAGGATCAAAGTGGCTGTGTCTTCCAGATAAATGCATATTTAGGCAATTTATTAAAGCTCATTTCTCTGTTGTCTCTTGGCACCAAAGCCAAATCTATAATAGCTGTTTTCTGGAAAATCTTAGCACAGCCTGACTCCTCGTTTGCAGTTTGGCCGTGGGGCTGCAGCCACGGCCATCTGCCATTGTGCAGTTGGCAGGTGGGGAGCACAGATCTTAAAAATCATTGCTTTGAGTTTCCATTGCAAAGAAAGGACTGTGGAGAGCTTGTGTGCAGCGTCTGAGACCCAGAATCCATCTGCTTGCAATTACAATTCTATTGTGGCTGCAGAGCTGAGGCAAACAGATGCATTGTGCTAAGGGAGACAGGTCCATGCTTTATTTGGCCTTGTCAGAGGCAGGACCTGCTTTCCAGGAGGCTGGGAAGAGTCTCCTTGTAAGAACTGCCTGAAATGACTAAAGTCTCTGTTGTCTTTAAGGCTGCATGATGCCTGAGTCACGTACAACAGCACTGCTAATTCTTGGGTTCTTCCTTGTGACAGCTCCCTCTTGTTCTTGCTCCCTCCTATGTTATAAAACAAATACAGCTGTTATAAAAACCTGACTGTGCTCTCCCATACAGCCTTGGTGAGGGAGCTTTCCCAGCAGGGAGCACAGGATCTGCCTGAGCCCAGCTGATCCCAGCTCTGACGCCGCAGTCCTGGGGACAGGCGGGCACTGTGCCCCGGGTGATGCCCTGAGAAGCTCCCAAAAGAGAAGCACGAGCCATCCCTGAGCAGTGCCAAACGTGGCAGCAGTGCTTAGCCTGTTATCACACCCTCTGGGTTCACAGAAACGTCATGGCTCACAAAAATCATCCTTCCCTCGATAGCAGCGCAGACAGAAATCATCCTTCCTCATCCTGCTCTGTGGGCCTTGAAGGCTGGGAAGGATTTCCCCAGAAGCAGTGGTGACATTCAGCACATTTTAGGGGTTTGGGGGTGTCACTTTCAGTCCAGTCACCTGCAGCGTGTCTCACCCTCCAGCTGAGCCCTTCCAGTGATGCCAGGCAGTGCCCCAGCCCCAGCCCAGGGAGCTCCTGGCCAGACACAGCGGCCAGAGCCACCTCAGCTCCCCCAGCGCTCCTCCCAGCCCTTCCTTGCTGCTCCCCAAATTCCTAAAGCCGGTTAGGGGGATGTAGTGACATTTGCAAGCACGTCTTGTCTCACAGATAAAGGAGGGGGTGTGGTGCTGCAGCCTGTGGGGTGCTCCCAGCCCATCACAGCACCTCAGCCCAGCAATGCACATGGAAATGATGGAGAAACTGCCCCAAAAGCTGCAGGGGAAAGGCGCTTATGGGCAACACAATGTCCAGGAGCAAAGGCGGAGCTGCTGCTGCTGGCATGAATGGACAGAAAGCACCCAGAGCTGAAGGTGTCCTGGGGAGCAGCAAGTGCTTCAGCACGGCTCTGTGTGAAGGGGAGCACCAGCCATGGCGTGAAGCGTGTTCCTGCTCTGCCCGCATTTCTGCAGATAAATCTGTGCCTGGAAGCACCACAAGGTGGGAGGGAACCTCTGGGGACACCTGTGCTGATAGCAAGGCCAATTCTCTGCTGGGCTTGTGAGCCATGGCTCAGGCCGGGGCTGGGAGCTGGCCCTGAGGAGAAGGGGAAAGCAGGGATGGGATGCTCGGAGTTGTATTGGCACTGAGGAGAAGGGGAAAGCAGGGATGGGATGTTCAGGCTGTATCAGTCCCTGAGGGGAAGGGGAATGCAGGGATGGGGTGTTGGGGCTGTATCAGTCCCTCAGGAAAAGGGAGAATGCAGGGATGGGGTGTTCAGGCTGTGTCAGTCCCT